ATAATCATATACTGATTCAGGTACAAAAACATATTCATATGTGAATATAACGTGGTAATTTAGTTTATGCATTTCATCAAATAGTTGGAGTGCATACAACTTAGTTTTTTTTTAAATGCTAAAAATACAATACTTTGACTATTTAAAACTTACAAAATAGTAGATTAATAGAGAATTATATGAAATTTTTCAAAAAAAAAAATGATTTGATGTTTTTCTAACCTTAATTTCAAAGTTTCGTTTGATGATCGATGTTGAATGGATGATATGAAGTGGAACTGTTGTTGATTATGATGATGTTGATCTAATGATGTTGGGAGTATAATTAACCGTAGATGTTGAAGATATACTCGTATTCAAGCAGAATTGAAGGTTGGATTGAAAGAACCAAAAACGAATTTCTGTTGTCTACTATTAAATGGTGTTGATAAACGTGTTATTGATGAAGATCAATGATTGATTAACACTGGATGATGTTGATCGATGATTTAATTGAAGAAATCTAGATGATCGTTGAAGGTTGGAGAAGAAATTTGGATGATAAACGATGGATTAGTAATATAGTTGAACTGTTATCTAATTATACATAGTTACGTCTCTGTGATTGAAGGACATTATATCATATTTACAAGTTTGCCACCGTGTATTTTATGTTAAGATGCTAATTAACTGATTGGCTGAGAATGATTCCCCCATTCTCAACCTGTTTTTTTCTCAATTGAACCATCCTATATATATATATATATATATATATATATATATATATAGGGGGAGAGAGAGAGAGAGATAGGTTCAAGTGTTTAAAGTATTTATTGTGTTATTATATGCATAATTGTGAGACAATCAAAATTAAATAGAAATTTAAATAATTAAATAAATAAACAAGGGTATTTTAGTAATTTGATAAATAGCTTCCACAAATAGTCATATAATCATGTTAGCATTCAATTTTAACCTAATTTCTTTTCTTATGTACAGTCGTCATCAATTTGCGAGGAGGTCGTCTCCTGTTGAAGACCCCTTCACGCCGACAATCCAATCACCGGCTACTGAGCACCACCATCATTATATAAAAGTTTGGAGGTGTCTACAAATTTACCCTATCTCTTTTGATCGATAAAACCTAAAAATGCCTTTGCCCCTCTTTTAATTTTTTCATTCTTCGCCATCTTCAGCGCTTCAAATTGAACTTTTCTTCCAAGGCAGGTGTGGTGTTTCTTATTTATTTATTTATTTTTGGTTTCTTTCCAGATTTCGATCCCTATTACCTATCACTGTTTGAAATCTCAGTAGATCTTTATCATGTACTTCTGATATTCAGTCACTTCAATCTTGTAAAAACCCTAGATGGATTGGAATCCACAAACACCACAGGTTATGTCACAATCTTTCCTCGATACACTCTTCCCTCAACCCGAAATCTGCCGCCATGCTGAGGAAAAGTTATCCTACTCCGCCGATACTCCTAACTACATCATTGTCGTTCTTAGCCTGGTTGCTGAACCTTCCATTGACGAGCAGACCCGCCAATACGCTGCTATTAACTTTACGAACCATCTTAAAACCCGGTGGATGTCCTCATCTGACATCCATATTTCCGATGGTGAAAAAGAGAAAATTAGGACTCTAATAGTGCCTGTTATGCTCTCCGCCACCCGGAAAATCCAGGACGAGCTTAGCGAAGCCATAGCTGTGATTGGAGACCATGATTTTCCTGAGTTTTGGCAGGTTTTGCTTCCTGAATTTGAGTCCAGTCTTGAAATGGCTATCAATTCAAATGATTTTACTTCTGTTAACAGTATCCTTGCTATTGTTTGTTCTTTGTTTAAGAGATTCTGTTGTGGGTTTAATTCTTTGTTCAAGAAATTTCGGTACCAGCCTAAGAGGAATAACATAATGTCTGACTTGATATATTGCTCCGATAACTTTGCCACACCGTTGCTGAGTACTATTCAGAGTATTTCAAGGAAGATAAATGTTGCTGCTACTGTTGGGTCTGTTGCAACCATCCGACAGTTACTTGAAGCACGAAGGCTCCGTTGTAGGTTGAAAGTGACATGCATTAATTAGGAGACGTAATAGGTTGACACATGATAAAAGAAAAATAAAATATACACTAATTATGAAGACCTAATATGGTGACACATGTCAAAATGAGAATAAAACTATTCTTTTATTAGAATAATGGTGATATATATATATATATATATATATATATATATATATATATACATACTAGGTTATAACTCGTGGAAACCATGGTCGGTATATTTAAAATTTTTATATCGATAAAAAAAAATGTAAAAAAAAACCAAGATATTGTCGATTGTAAGTAATTATGAATTAATTTGTTAATAAAAATAAACATAATAATGTTATTAGGATATGATTTTGTATTTTTTAAATTTGAATTGAATTTGATTTGTTACAAAAAAAAAAAATAATAACCATCATAGAAAAATGACACGTGTCAAAGAGACATTTTAAACAACTGACACGTGTTATTTTTAAGTTTCATTTATTAGAAGAGGTATATATATATATATATATATATATATATATATATATATATATATATATATATATATATATATATAATATGATTTTTTTTGAAAGAGTTAATATATTGATATTAATAAGGATGGAAATAATAATCGTATAGAGGAGGCGGGACTTAATACTCTTAGCCATATAATAGCACTTTTTATTTAATAGTTTTAAATAAATAGTAGATGTCTACTTAGATTGATTGATATTTTCTTGAAATTAAAGTTACAACAAATTATATTTTTTATTCACAAGCTATGTTTTAATTTTGAATTATTTTCAAACACTTGCTTACTATGAAACAATGGACAGAGGATGATTTTACAAAACTTATCCTAATCTTTAAAAAAAAAATGATGTCATTTCGTTCACATCAACATTATAAACACCATGTTTATTTCTCTACTTTTTAATATAAATTAGTTGATATAAAAATATTATTGTCCTATTTATAATCTTATAATTTTATTATTTATTTTTATTATTATTTGTTTAATTTATTATTTTTGATTTTATGATTTAAGAATTCTTTTACTTGTTCAAATATATTTTTGAAGTTTTATTCGTTTAAATTAAATATTTAAAAGATATATATATATATATATATATATATATATATATATATATATATATATATATATATATATATATATATAACATTTAATTACATTTCTATATAGATTAAATCTCATCACGCGACTTGTGACTGAATTTTGGAGTCTTGCAAATATAGTGTGTCCACCTCGATTCTTCTTCAGTCATCTGTTTCTTCATCGACTCAAATATTTCCTAAATGGATATATCTGAGACGCTTCCTCCGTTGATTTCTTTATTCACAATTTTTGTGTGGTCATCATCCAGTTGCTTTGTCTCTATTCTTCACAGTCGCCTGCTACTGCTCCTCCTCCCTAAAATTTCGTCGATATCTCCTCTAATTTCTTAAATCCATCAATCACATCCTTCTTTGTTGGCGCCCGTATGGAATTTCTGAGATTTTTTAAGATACGTAGATGGAATCCTAACTCTATAGTCTCGGATGTGCAACGAACCTCAATTTCTTCTACATCCAACGAAAAAGGAGATATAAGCGGTTGAGTCCAGCAAAAGCGGGCCGATTTGTTAACCCTAACAAGCCCTAAAAGCATAGTTCACAAAAGGTGAGTTTTTCTATAAGTTTTTTACGTTTAAGTCTCGATTACCTATCTAAACCTTAACCAAATCTTACCGATTTTACATAGAGTTGAATAGAATTCATTTTGTTTAAAATTAAAAACATAGCTTTACATAAAAACACAAAAAATTATCAGTCATTCGATATAAGATTATGAGGCCAATTATAATGGAAATGTTACATATACATATTTATTTGTCTTTCGTATTGAGTAAGTCATCCAAATACATGATTATATTTGAAATAATTTACCGTGGAATGATCATAAGCATCAAGCACCCTACATTCAATGTGGCGGTGGCGACGACGACGGTATATGAGCTTACTCTATTTTTGTTGTTATAACATATAAAAATAAATACAAAATGAAAAGTACGAGCTTACTCTATTGTCGGCATAGCACAATGTACTCATGTGAAGTCAGAATCACCCATTGTCTGCCTATTGGTTTGAGAAAAAGAAAAGAAAAAAATTAGATGTTAAAAATAAAAAAAAAATTAAGTAAGTTGTTTTATACTTGCTTTCCAATAAGTCATTGGTGGAATAAAATCACTTCCAATAATGGAATAAAATCACTTCCAATAATGGAATCAACAATAGGATTAAAGCATTTTAATTACAATCAATGAATCAATGAAAATCAACGGAAATAAAATAAATGGTTATTAATTGTTTAATCAGCAATGTAAGCAATATTGAATAATAATAAAAGCAGTATTTTATAGTTTATAGTTGATATGATCCATGTGATGTCACAGGTCGCTTTGGTGTGATATACAGGAGGCGAAAGTAAAAAGGGCCCAGGGGCTTTTTAGTAATTAATTTAAGTTTGTTTATTTTAGCAATTGGATTTATTTATTAATTTTAGGAGTTTATCTTTTATGTTTGGATTGGTAATTGGGTCTTATTGGGTTTCCTTTTTCTTTGCTATAAGTATCGTATTTTATTAGATTTATCTTCTTATGTAAGAAAAAATATTGAAGTTTATCTCTTGTGGAGTCTACCTTTGGCTCAAATATAGGTTATACCAAGTGGTGTGTGTATCAATTGGTATCAGAGCATCGATTCTAGAAACGACACTGTTTACCAGAATTACTGTTCACACAACAATATTCACCAGAACACTGTTCATGACGGTGTTGTTCATCGAGAAGTATTGTTCATGCAACATTATCTTTATAGTTTTTTTAATTGGTTCATTTAAATTGTTTTTTTTTGGGAGATTGGAACAAAGCTCAATAATACTGATCGCATTGAATTGCTTGAGTCAGATGTATCCAAGATGGGAGAGGAAGTAGAAAGTCATCGGGTGGAGGTGGCGATGCAACTTCAGGAGATTTTGGAATCGATCAAGGACCTGAAGGTCGAGCGGGACAAGAAGAAAAAGAAGAAGAAAGAGTCTGATAGTGAGAGAGAGTCGTCGGACAGTGATGATGACAAATCCAAGGATTCTAGTGATCACGTGGGTTCTGGTTTTCACAAGGGAAAGAACAAGGACTCATTATGTGATTCCCGAAAAATCAAGATGCCTATCTTTTCAAGGGCAGATGCGTATGGATGGATTTATCGGGTCAAGAGGTACTTTGAAGTGCAGGGGATCAGCAAGAAGGATCAATTGAGGGCAACATGTTTATGCATGGAGGGGTCTGCACTTGCTATGGGTGGAGGAACGATCGCCATGCCATACATAGGAAAATATCAAGAAGAAGCTATTGGTTCACTTTCAACCATCATACGAAGGTAATTTTTACCAACAATTCTTGTCAATTTAACAAGTAGGAACGACTCATGACTATGTGTGCGAGTTTGATAAATTAGCTGGACAAATACTTGACTTTCCTGAAGAGGTTCTGGAAGCAACATTTATTAATGGATTGAAATCCGAGTTGAGATCAACAACAATAATAATGGAACCCAAAAGTTTATGAAAGGCCATGAAGGTAGCGGTAAGAATCAAAGAAAACAAGAATGGTGGAGTGTCAAAAACATGGGGTGGAATGGTAAGAGGCAGCACCAGCAGTCAGTTCAAACCCGACATGCCATTATAATTTGGCAACCAGAAAACAGTCAAGAAGGAAGGGGGTATATGGGTCTGTTTAAACGTCTCACTGAGACAGAAATCGCAGAGAAACACGCAAACAGTTTATGCTTTAGGTGCGATGGAAAGTTTGGGTCGGGACACCGTTTTCCTAGAATAAAAAAAAGTGTTGATTGTTGAAGAAGAAGAAGAAAAATAAGGAGGCGAAGGGGAAGGGGAAGAAGAAGATGACCTGGAACATGCACACTTTGATATGGCTGAATTATCGTTAAATTCAGTCAGCAGACTCACCTCGCCACACAAGATGAAAGTAAAAGGATAGATGAGAGGCATGAAAGTGGTGGTGCTTATCGAAAATGGTGTCACCCACATTTTGTTTCCACCAAACTAATCAAGAAGCTAGGAGTGGAGGCTTTTGGTTCCAATACAGTCAAAATGAAACTAGGTAATGGGATGATGGTTGCGAGCTGGAAACATGCAAATGAATCATGTTAAACTTTCCAAAATTGCAAATCATTTAAGAATTCCTACCTTTTGAACTTCGTGAATCAGACATGATTTTGGGCATAAAATTGTTACATAACTTGGGTGACATGACAATGAATTGGCACGAGCTCTGGATGAAATCATGGGACGGGAGTTGTCTTGTAACAATTAAAGGTGATCCTAGTTTATCTAAAACTCTAACCTATTGTAAAACACTTTGTAAGATTTTGAAGCACGAAGTGGAGGGGTACATGGTCCATATAAACTAGGGCTGGCAAAATTATACCACGGAAAACCAACCAACATGTTACCAACCGAACCAAGAAACTTGGTAGCCAATACATTTGGTAGCCAACATGTTCGGTTGGTAGTACCATACCAATTGATCAATGTTGGTACGGTAATGGTACAAAAATTTGAATACCATGGTAATACCGTACCAACCAATTCATTTATTTTATATATATATATATATATATATATATATATATATATATATATATATATATATATATATATATGAAATCGTATATTTCAACTATTAATTGTGTTTAGTATTTACAGTTTTAATAACATTATATTAGTCATTTGATTGTATTAGTCAATAGTTATTACCACGTTAAAGCACAAAATTAAAACGTTACTTTAGCATTACTTTAGTATAATTATTTTGTAAACAAAAATAACTACGTAACTAATTTCTATACTAAACATCAAAATCTCGATGTCTTTGCTTTAGTAGAATTCTTTTGTAAACAAAAAGAACTACATAACTAATTTCTATACAAAACATCAAAATCCCGATGTCTTTGCTTATTTTTAAATCTTACAATAGAAAATTAAAAGAAGTTGGTATATACCATTACCAATTTGTACCAACCAAACATGTTGGTAGCCAAATAAATTGGTACCAAGTATACTTGGTACGGTACCGGTAGAATTTTTTTTATACCAATTATAGTTGGTACGGTACACGGTTTAGAGAAAAATAAATTGGTATCGTACCAATTCCACCCCTAATATAAACGCGAAAGAAGAAATAGGCGCGGAGATGGATCTCTCAGCAGAGATTCAAACTATAATTAACACCTACAGTGAAGTGTTCGAGATGCCTTTTGGGATTCCCTCTCAGTGGGGCCATGAACACGCGATCATCCTCAAGGAAGGAAGCGTACCTAGGCATGAGCAAACGGACCGAACCGGTCGGAAGCGGCCCGACCCGGACCAGACCCCGGAACCGGCTTCGGCCAAAATCAAGAACCGAACCGGCCCGGCGGTTCTATCGGTTTCGGTTATGGGTCCCGTTTTTGCCAGGTTTTCGATTTTGGAACTAGTCTGATTTGACACGCTTCCTTGCGGGGCTTGTAACTCATTTAATTTTTAACCAAATCAAGCGTTTTTATAGTCTAAACTTAACTACAAAACCTAAACTACGTGCAGGAAAAAGATTCAGGTCAAAAAACCTTAAGTTGAGTGAGTTATGCACATTTGAACAACAAAGTCAGATTACGTTTAATTGTTGTAACATAAAAAAAATTCTAATTTGACACCCTTCCTTGTGGGGCTTGTAACTCATTCAATTTTTAACCAAATCAAGCGTTTTTATAGTCTAATCTTAACTACAAATCCTAATCTACATGTAGGAAAAATATTCAGGTCAAAATAAGTTAAATTGAGTGAGTTATGCACATTTGAACAAAAAAGTCAGATTACATTTAATTGCTGAAACATAAAAAAATTCTGATTTGACACCCTTCCTTGCAGGGCTTGTAACTCATTCAATTTTTAACCAAATGGTGGTTGTCGAGGCCAATAAAATAAATACCCTAAATATTACAGACTAAAATAGTTAATAGTGGTAAAGGGATCGTATCCACGGAGATTGGTTCGATTTAAATCTCTATGTCAATCACTTGTAAAAAAAAGTGAAAGTAAAATGGGGGGGGGGGGGGTTAATTCTTTTTGATTGTTTGACAAAATTAAAACTAGCTAGAATGTAAATATGACAAGTAACAAGTAAAAGATTTGATTAAATTCAATGAAGTGAAATTGGTTGATTTTGGGTACACCACATGGATGACATGGTTGACTTATCATTAGACTAAAAGGAATAACACTTGTGAATTGTTTTAACTTGGCTATAGCAATTCATAAGCACAAATTACCTCAACTCTTATTAGATATTAAAATGGTTAGATGAGCTCTAACACATTCCCTTAATTAAAGTCACAAAATCAATGAAGCATATAATCTTGTGAAAATCAATTAGCTTTGAGTTCTAAGAGTTACCAAGTCCATAAGATAATCAAATGCTTACATTATCATTATGGAGGAAACATTCCCATGATTTAAATGAAATGAAAACAAACATAGAAACCATTTGTTGCTTACCAACTTCAAATTCCATTACTTAACCAAGAAATTAATCAACAAAAAAAAATTATTCATCCAAGCTCATGATCTAAGATAAACAAACATAATAAGATGTTTAACTAGAAAACATTTCCATAAACTTCATACACAAGATAACATTTAGTCTTCAAAGTAACCAATCATCCATGGGATTAAACCCTAATTAACCAAATGAGAATTTAGCCAAGCATGGCCAAAATAAAAGAAATACAAGGTAGTTTAGAAATACCAAACATTGTTCTAAGTGTAAGATGAAATGAAATAACACCAAACTTCAAAATCTTCAAGTTCTTCCCAAGTGTTCTTGAGAGCAAAAGAGTAGTTCTTCAAGGTGTTGATGATGAATAATGCTCCATTCCAGCAAAAAGGCCTCATTTCCGGATTCGAAAGCTACCCACCAACCTTCCCAAAATAGAGTCAAAAAGTCAAAACTCGGATTCACTTCAGCACGATCCATGCGGACCGTTTGTAGATCCACACGGACCGCGTGGGTCTCGCTGATTGTGGGACTTGGCCCATTTAGAATATATTCTAGCCCAATCTTCTCATTCACACTTCAACCCACATGCACAACTCTTGGGAGCCCAATTGTGTTATTCTAAAGCCTCCAATGATGGTCCAATACTCCTTCAATCCTCTTCAACTCGAGTCCCCGTCCAAAATTTAATCCAACGCGCATCTCGCTTATACTGACACTGAGCCCAATCGCCACACTTCAAGTCCACGAACAAATTGCAAGCCCCCAATAATCCCGAACTCCTTCCACACCTCCAATAAAAAATAGTCTTCGATAAATCCTGCAAATAAGCTCAAAAGACTGGAAAGCACCCGGTAAAGGAGAAAATAACAAAAGAGAAAATATGCATGAAGATTAACTAAAATGATATGGAATGTGCTAAAATAAACTATAAAAAGAGGTAAATAAAATGAAACTATCACCAAATCAAGCATTTTTATAGTCTAAACTTAACTACAAATCCTAATCTACATGTAGGAAAAAGATTCAGGTCAAAACAAGTTAAATTGAGTGAGTTATGCACATTTGAAAAAAAAAAGTCAGATTACATTTAATTGTTGAAACATAAAAAAAAATTCTGATTTGACACCCTTCTTTTGCAGGGCTTGTAACTCATTCAATTTTTAACCAAATCAAGCGTTTTTATAGTCTAATCTTAACTACAAATCCTAATCTACATGTAGGAAAAATATTCAGGTCAAAATAAGTTAAATTGAGTGAGTTATGCACATTTGAACAACAAAGTCAGATTACATTTAATTGCTGAAACATAAAAAAATTCTGATTTGACACCCTTCCTTGCAGGGCTTGTAACTCATTCAATTTTTAACCAAATGGTGGTTGTCGAGGCCAATAAATAAATACCCTAAATATTACAGACTAAAATAGTTAATATTGGTAAAGGGATCGTATCCACGGAGATTGGTTCGATTTAAATCTCTATGTTAATCACTTGTAAAAAAAAGTGAAAGTAAAATGGGGGGGGGGGGTTAATTCTTTTTGATTGTTTGACAAAATTAAAACTAGCTAGAATGTAAATATGACAAGTAACAAGTAAAAGATTTGATTAAATTCAATGAAGTGAAATTGGTTGATTTTGGGTACACCACATGGATGACATGGTTGACTTATCATTAGACTAAAAGGAATAACACTTGTGAATTGTTTTAACTTGGCTATAGCAATTCATAAGCACAAATTACCTCAACTCTTATTAGATATTAAAATGGTTAGATGAGCTCTAACACATTCCCTTAATTAAAGTCACAAAATCAATGAAGCATATAATCTTGTGAAAATCAATTAGCTTTGAGTTCTAAGAGTTACCAAGTCCATAAGATAATCAAATGCTTACATTATCATTATGGAGGAAGCATTCCCA